GTCTGGATTTTCCATCTCACTAACTCTGGCAAGAAAGTGATCTGGGCCCTTGGGGTATTTTTTTCTTTAGAAAATATTCAGATTAAACAATGGCTCAGGATAGGGGTATATTTTTATGATAGTATTTCCCAACGCACAGTTAAATATAATTACTTAAATGGCCCTCCAACACAATACTGGGACATGCCTTTTTATTTTCTGACTTGTTAGTGGTTAGAAAACTCATTTTTTTTTCTGCTTTACTAACAAGATTCAAGACTAAGGCCTACAATGTTATTTATGTAGCCTTTTCATTTTTGTTTTGATCTTATATTTGGTTATTCATGTAAAATTAAACATATATCTTTGAATTAATAACCATTTATTAAGCACCTACTACTTTCCAGGCATTATATATAATGGTGTCAGACACAGTGTTTGTCCCTCAAGTTGCGCACAGCCTACAGCAGGTGGCAGCCTTGTGATCCATTAAAGCACTAAGTTATATGTACTAAAAGTATACTAAGTAATATGGTAAAGGGGAAGACTACATACTTTGTCAATGTAAGAGGCCCACCTTATTCAGATAGTAACTGCTTTCCAGAGAAATGATGTTAAGCTAAGTTTTGAAAAAGTCATACCTATTTTCCAGAAATGGAAATAAATGAAATGTAGATGAAATAAGAGACTCATATTGAGAAGAATCTTGAGATGACATATAGATGAGTTTGTGTTTTATGCCGAATGCAATGGTAAACCACTGAAAATTTTAAACAAAAGAGAGATAAAATCAGGTATGCATCTTAGAGAGATCACTTTAATGACCTTGTGGAAGACAGATAAAAGTGGGACTGAAGGCAAGGAGATAAGAAAGGAGGTTATTGAAATAATACAAGCTAGAAAACAAAAGTGTTGCTCTTAAGGCACATGGATGGAAGACACTATGGTGCCCTGGCTAAAAGCCAGGACTTTGGCTAACAGACTTGGGGCTCAAGCATATCTCATACCTTGTGTGATTTTTGGATGGCCAAAAATTAAAACCGAACAATAATTACTCAGTTAAAAGAAAAATAAACCCAACCAGATTAATTGAGTTTAGGGGCGGGTGTGTAACAGGAAGTCATTCAAGAACTGGCTACACTTGCCATTTCTCTAATAAGCCTCCTGGTCTCTCCCTGTTTGTAGCTTTGCTCTTTGCATCTACTCCATTCTCTTTTCTCTTTCAGTTCCTTTCTCTGGTTACTCAGTTTATATATCCTCATAAGGTATGCTTGCCTATGGCCATCATGCTCTTCGAGCCTCATACTATATAATGAATAGGCATTTCCTTCTGCTGAGTGGAATGTCTCTCAATATTTCCTGGGTCACATTCCCAAGAAAGAAAAATGAATGGCTCTGCTCATCTCTGCTCATCTGCCTAAACTATGATCCATAACGCTGCAGCATTTTGACTGGCTCTAACCTTGGATGGTAATATAGAGAGAAGATATGGAGAATAGTGGGACCTACTTCAGAGCTTGTGAAAAAAACAATTACCTTCAGAAGGGATAATTGAAAAGTTTACCTATATCAGTGGCAATAAGAATGAACTGCAGGGGAGAGGTTTAAGGAAAAGTTTAGAAATCAAAGCAGCTGACTGTAATGATCCATCAGATATGAAACATAATAAACAGGGAGGTTTCTGATGTGATGCATTGAGTAATTAGCAGGCCATCTACCCAAATAGGGAAAACGGGAAGAACGGTCCTTTGATGAGTTCAAATTTGAACTTATGGGTCAACTTTGTCGAAAATCCCAGTAGGTAGCTCTATATACTGTTTGGCTCTCAAGAGCTATTTGGATTAGAGATAGCCATTTATGACCACTCTCTTTTTTGGCTTCTAAGGTTTTCTTTTACTTTAGTCTTCCTCCCTGCCTCTTCTACGTCCTTTGCATTTGCCTACTCTTACCTCTTCCCTTGTGATCTCTTTGAGGGCCATATATTTCTAGAAGCCCAGTTTTGGTTCCTCTTTATCTTCTCCATATATTCTTCACTGGATAATTTCTTCAAACCCTAAATTAATAAATACCATATTTATGCTTGTGACTTACAAACTGTAATCTTCAAACTCACGTATCCAGTTGCTTACTTCACATCTCAAACTCTCAGTTTGAAATCCTTATAGCCCATACACCCCAGTCTTCTTTGGCTTATTTTATATCGTTATTATTCTCTTGTTTAGAAAAGTCAGAACTTGAAGATTATCCTTGTTACTATCTTTTCTTAATTCCCCACAGCCAGCCCAAAGGCAATGTCTATCAATTCCATCTCCAAAATGTGGCATGACTCCATTTTCTTTCTTCCATGACTATTGCTGTCACCTTGTTACAGGCTATTAGCAAAGAACTTTTTAACTATTTGGTGGCTTCTTATTTCACTTAAAATGAAGTTTAGATTTTGACAAAGACCACATGATCCTTACCTCTGTCCTTAGCATATTCCTACGACATTGTGGTCTAGCTCTCTAACAAGGTTCTTCCCATTAGGGCATTTGTCCTTGGTGTTTCTACCCCTTCAAACTATATTCACTGTGCTGGCTTTTTTGAATTATGTAAATTACAATTCACATGTCATCTGAATAAAGGGATCTTTCCTGTGTCCAGTACAAGCAACCCCTCCACCCAACGCCATCACTTTTACATTAATGTATTTTTTTCTGTATCTTTAAAATACTTTTCTCTCTGAAATTACCTTTGTTTTCTTGTTTAAGGTCAGTTTTCCCATACCCCTTCCCTAGAATTTAAGCTCCAAGAGGCAGACGTGTTGCCTTTCTTATTCACTGCTACATCTCCAGTGCCTAGAATACTTCCTAATAAGTTTACTAAGTTGTCGATGAATGATTCAATTAATTCTTGCAAAAGACCATTGATGGATCTTCTCATTTCCATTCTTCTCTTTATAGTCCATTTTCCACAAAAGACAAAAGTCATGTTTTGAAAATATAAAACAGATCACATCCCTCCATTAATTTTATCTCTTTGATGGTTTCCCAGTCACTCAAAATAAGACTGAAACCTACCATATACGTTTGCAGTACCACTCTCTTCTTGTTCATTACACACCACTGATCTTTTCATTTTTAATCATACCAAACTCCTTTGCTTGGGATACTGTTCCTGACATTCAGCACAGAGATATCATCTTCTTCTCTTTCTTTAAATTTTGGTTTAAGTGTTATTTCTTCAGAGAGGCTTTCCTGATCGCCTTACTTAAAGGAATTTCCCCCTTGGGATTTCTTTTTTCTCAGCCCCTGATGTATTTCCTTTGTAGCATCCAGTAGTTTTTCAACTACTACAATTATATTTTTGTATATTTGGTTTTCATCTGCCCAATCGACTAGAATGCAGGATGATCACTATAGTGAACAGGTCTGTCTTGTTCTCTTTAGTATCCTTAGTACCTAACATGATAATTGGACACTGAAGGTACTTAATAAATGTTGTTTTTTAAAAATGATATCAAATGGTAGTAGAGGCTCTTGAAGTAAATAAGATTACTCCTGTTACAAACTAGAGACACCTAACTAAATCTAGCCTGAAAACATGATATTTTTGCTTTGTGTTGTGTTGTTTTAGGCAGGAACATGTTTTTAATTTTTTTTTTATTTCCTTAAGGTGTAACATGAATGCTACAGGCTATCATAGTCCTCATCTAGGAGTAGTAATGAAATATTCTAACAAGTAAGGCTTACATCTATTAGAAAGAACATAGGATACTTTGTCAGATATTAATAGATATTAACTGTTTTACTTCACCAGATGCTAACCCCAGAAGGAGTTAGTGATAAGAGATACTAATTGCAGAAAGATCCAGAAGGACCAGGGGAAGAAGTCTTGGGGTGTGGGTTTGAGGGGAGATAGACATTTAGGGCAAAGTATGTTTGCTGACTTTCATTAAAGTGTCTCAATATTTGAATAGCCCACTCCCTCCACTCCTACCTGGCCCTTGTAAGTATTTAAGTTTGGGACCCCCACCCTTACCTCCTACCTCCTGATTTGGAATAAGAAGAGAGGAGGTCAGAGAACAAAGCCCTAGGAAATGTCAACATTTAAGGACTGAGTGGGGGGAGAAAAAGCCCAGAATGGAGCAGCTGGAGGAAAAAGACCCCCCCACCCCCAAAAATGGTTTTCTAGCAGCTTAGAGAGAGAAGTGATTTAAGTGAGCAATTGTGTCAATAGATAAGGGTAGAGAATTATTTCCTTGAAAGACATTGCTGACTCTAGAACAAAAGTTTTCAGTGGAAAGTAAGTGTTAAATCAGTTTTCAGTGGAGTGAGGAATGGTTATAGACTACTTGAGAGGCATACCAAAGAGGGGAGTGTTAGGCACGGTACAGGACATGAGGAAGTGTGTTGTAATTTCAAAACAGCAATAAAACTGACTCAAGTTTGTCTTCTTAATATTGCCATACTCTAGCAATTCCAAACAAGGTTAGGGTTAGAATTCTCCTCCCCTAGAATACGGCTCTTATTAAAGAGAGGGATAGTATAACAGTTAAAAAAGGGCATAGGGTCAAAGAAGGATGACTTTCTAAGATTAAAGGAACTTGTGAATGTTTGTAATAGGAGAGGACCAGCTTAGAGGATGTGTTTCAATAGAGTAAAGGTTATAACAATAAAGCAACCTGAGGATATACAGAATGCACAAAACACAGTAATGATTTAGCCTTAAATAAAAATAGCATGTCTAATTCCTAGAGGAAAAATCCTGATTCTTGATTCAGAATTGTTGTATTATGGCAAGTTGTAGATCTTTTTTATTTCTTAAATTAATTCACAAATTCTAATTATATTGTTAAATAGTTACTCATTTTATCCACTTTTGAAGATAATCTTCTAATAATAACGTCTGTATTCCAAATGTGACTACTACTTATTTTATGGATTTCATGTAAAATAACTTTAAATTCACTGTATTAATAGATATATTCTATTTTCTGATATTAAATTATTATATTCTGCATTTGCACTTATTTCATACAGGTAACAAATACTGGGTATTTAAGGATACAACTCTTCAACCTGGTTATCCTCATGACTTGATTACTCTTGGAAGTGGAATTCCCCCGCATGGTATTGATTCAGCCATTTGGTGGGAAGATGTTGGGAAAACCTATTTCTTCAAGGGGGACAGGTCAGTACACATTTCACATGAGGAAAATAGTTAACTAATGTTTACAGAAGTTAATATTTCTACTCTATAATAGACTGTTGATTAAGAATCTGTGTGAATATAAAGATAATTAATGAAATCAAAAATATTTTAACATATTTTTAAATAATATTCAAGATAAATCTTCCTGTAACATACCTAAATAATATGACCTTCTTATGAATATATGTATTCTTCCTCTTCTGCATAAGCTTAACATGCCTATAAATCTGTGTAGGCAATGTGTATGTGTCTTACAATGCATTTTCTTGTCATTTTACTTAACTTTATTTAAAAAACACATTTTCACAAAGGCTTTTTTTTTTTGCTTTCATATTGAAAGTTAAATTTTTATACTTTGCATGCTGTTAATTGTAAATGTTTTCAAACAATTTCAGTTTAGTCATGAGTTCTATTTCTTAAGAAGCTAATTATTTAGGTACCAACAAGTCAGTCACTTAGCTTAAAGTGTAAACTCTCTTCCCTGCAACTCTCTTTCATTTCTTTTCCTTTCCTTTCCTTTCCTTTTTTTATGACATTAGTAAAAATTAAGTGAACTGTTAGTCTTATGACTTGTAGCATCTACTAGGCATACATAGCTTCACTCCTGTGTACCTTTGATATAAATTACACATAAAATGCAACTTGAAGTCTATATTTTTTATTAATTTAAATTAATATTAGGTAGAAAAAGTAATAGAGATGAAAAATAAATTTTTAATTACACTATTACTAGCTGGGTCAAATGTGACACTCAATATAATTTTTATTAGTATGTAGGAGGACTTAAGTATGCATTTTACTGAGTTTTATAGTAAATTAAAAATACACATCCTTACACATAAACACACATATGAACAACAGGCTTTAATGCCCATCTAGCTAGTACTGAGTTTGCCATATAATCTTCGCATAGTATAACCTTATAAACTGTCTCCAACTTTAGGAGAAAACTGTGTGAGTATAAAAACTTTATTTTACAATTTGCAATTTTTAACATTGATTTCAAACATTGAGCTTTATCTGTGAACCAAAAACTCCTATAATTTTTCTCCATGGATAAGAATGTATACTTTTCAATTTATTCTGTTGCTAGCTCTCTATATATTTGATTTGTATATACTTCTATAACAAAATGTTTTAATACACGATCATGAAACTAAGGTGCTAAATGATTACAAAATCACAAAACATAAAAGGTCTATCAAACAAAAATTTTATTAAAGGAGATGCTATTTATAGCCACAAAAAGTATATGATTCTCAGCAAGATATAAGTGTAATAGAGTATGATAGAAGCATGAAGAAATTGCTGGCTACAGCATGGTGACCACTAATGAAAATAAATCTGCAAATTTAGAACATATTCTTTAAAATAACAACCCTGAAGGTTGTTAGAGTTTAAGTCCGCGGCTGATTTAATTGCTTGGATGTACTCTTTCAGGACCAGGTTCAATAAGGAGTTTTTTTATTGTTTTGGGTTTTTTTGTTTGTTTTTGGAGAAAGGTGTAGAAACAAAAGGCTGACAAAACACATTTCTGCAGGACAGAACATGAAGCTTAGCTTTCATGCAACAGTTTTCACAGGATTACACAGATGGTAATAAAAACTGCCACTCTATTATCAGATAGCATAGTTTTTTTCATACATGCAGGCATTACTTTTAAAATGTTTCCAATATAAAAATTTAGCACTTATTGAAAAAATTAAGTTTAGAAACTAAATGCGCACTGCCTCAAATCAGTGAAATCAATGAAGGTTAGATACCAAATTCATACTAAAATAAAGGCAATAGTAAATAGGAAAAGGAGTTTTAGTTCATTTGTTTCCTACTTGAGAAGCTACATGCAAATATAACAAAATATATAGAAGAAATACTTTGAGCTCTGCCTAAATAATTGGTTTTATAGGTTTAAAAATATTTAAAAGTAGGAATCCAATTAATTTCCATGTGTGTGATCTTGTGTAAGATTTCATAAGTCATAGATGTTTTGTAAGCAGATTACTTCATATTCACATAATTCTATAATTCCAGAATCACAATTTACCAATATATTCATTCTGGATTAAAAATATGTGGACAAGACATTAAACTACCTATAACGGAAACAAACAACAATTTGGCTGTCACTTTTATATATGAAGTCAGTGTATCTTTCTTCCTTATAGATACTCTATATTTTTAATACTTACCAAATTTTAATGTTTTATTTATTTTCTATGTATATTTTTGAGAGAAAACACTGAAAATTGTTTTGTCCTTCCTTCTCTTTCTCCCACTGCCTTCTTTCTGCTTAAGGAGGGTGGCAGGGCGGGTTGGGGGGGTGGGTGTCGATTAATAGCTTTCTATTTCTCCAAGGCTAAGATTAGAAAGGGTTTTAGAGGTAATCTAGTCCAGGTATAAAAAACTCAATTGCTTTAAAGGGCTGGGCAAATAAGAAATAAACTACTGGATACAGCAATAATATGTAAGGCAGTAGTAGGGAGTGATGGGTACTGTAGTGAGCTGGAAAGTACAAATACACTAGAAAAGCACTCAAAACCAGAATCATTTATTTAATTTGCTAGACAAACAAAGCACAGCTTTAAATTAGATTTGGTCCAAGTGCTACCATATGTCAGCCCTGCATCTTGTTCACGTCCCATCCAATGTGTAGACACACTCAATTATACTCCACAGGAATTCATCCTACTCTAACCCAACTGCCCATGGTGACAGTATGACTATGAGACAGCCTTTTCCATTCTCAATAGCTCTAATTCCTACTTCCTTAAGATTTCTATAGTAGTCCTGGCTTAGCCCTCATTCATTTATTCAAAAAAATATTTTGAGCACATATGATGTGACCTGTGCTGGAAAGGACCACAAGGCTTCTGCTCCCATGGCACTTAACTTCTATTAAAGGAGACAATAGTAAACAGTAAACAAGTAAATGAGCCTGAAACTTTAATGTTGAGAAAAGCTACAAAGAAATAAAGTAAAGTGACAATGTGATAGAGACTCATGGGTAGTAAGGAACAGTTAGAAAATTAGTGTGGAAGTCAGAGAAGCCCTCACTTATGAAGGGGACACTAAAGTGGGGATTTGAACGGGTGAAGTTTCAGCCACATGAAGCTGTTTGGAACAATATATTGTAGGCAGATGACGTAGTAGTGCAAAAGCAATAATACCGCAAGGTTTAAATCAGTTAAAACATTGTGTCTAGAGAATAGCAAGTTAAGTGGTAAACCAGGAAGTCAAATAGGTAAGCAGGGACCAGATTATTTGGGGCCCTATAGATCATAGCAAAGATGGATTTTATTTTAAGTACAATGGAAAGGCATTGGAGAATTTTCAACAGGAAAGGGAAATGATCTTATGTATTCACAAACATCACTGTGGTTTCTGTGTGAAGAATGGGCTTCAGGAGTGGAAGCAAAGAGGGTAACTGGCAGGTTGCTGGAATAGTACAGGGAGATATGATGGTGGTAGTGGAGATAGAGCAAAAAGGGTGGGTACAGGATATATTTTGAATGTAATCAGAACAAGTCTTTTTTATGGCTTGGATCTTAGGGGTGAGAAAAAAGAAAATTAAAGATAACTTCTAGGTCTTTCACCTGAAAAATTGAGTAGATGGTGCCATTTCTGGAAATAGGGCAGACAGGGGAAGGAATATTGGGGAAAAGGGATTAAAGGATTGAAATGTTCCTCTTTAGATTGAGATGCCTGTTTTACACGCCAACTGGAGGAATCAAGTAGGTACTTGGATAATTGAGTTTGCTTCTCAGTGGAAAGATCAGTCTGAGGTATACATTGGAGAATGATTGACATAATTTGTATTAAAAGCAGGGGCCTACATCAAATCTCCTAAGTATTTAAGAGCTAGCTAAAGAAGAATAGTTGAAATGATGGCTCTTTAAATAGATCTATAAAGTCAGATTAAAATTTCCACTATTTCACTATTTTACATATAGCCTGGAACTTAGTTCCTCAGATTCCTACTTGCCCTTTTTTTAATACACTACAATTTGATACTCAGATACATTTTGGATCCTCCTAGCATTTAACTCTAAAATGCTATGTTTCTAAATCATCTCTCAGCATCTTCTCACAAATATACACAGGACTCTATTGCCATATTTCATTCTAAGCTTGAGTTTTAAGATATTTTCAATGAAAGACAAAATTTAGATCCACTTTGGTTTTTATTATTATTACCACTAATAGTCAAACAGAAAAACATATTTATTTCCTCCAGCTTAACTTGTGTGTTTATGAAGTAATTACTCAATAAGTTTTTTAAATCATCCAACACAGTATAAATTGATATTTCTAATTCTGTTACATGTTTAAGAATGTTTCTGAAAAGTGGGATTTTTGTATAACTACTTGGGTATGAAAAAAAGAAATGGTCCTATATTTTGTGTAACCTAAGAGAAGCAAGTGGTCTTGGCTCTGTAGTACAGAAATGAGACAAAGTAGGATGAAGAAATGGCTGTGTCATGTGAAATAACCCTTGGAGCCACTTTTTGTTCAGTTTGAATTCAGTATCCAGCAACATCCCATTAAAGTATGGCATTCTAGAATTTTCTATAACTTTTTTTTCCTTAGCAGAGAAAGTGTTTAACAAAATGTTGTATACCATTACATGGACAGTTTTTGTCTCTTATGGATATAACCCATGATCAAGTAAAAAAAAAATGATGAATAAATCTCATTTCTAATTATTTATTTTGAAGCATTGATTCACAATGCTTTTCTCAAAGAATCAGCAATTTAAAGTCATAATTCTAAAGTAGAGATAACGGATATATCAGAAGAAGAACTTAAAATAGCTTTTATCATTTGCTGACTCTCCTGCCAAAATTCCAATTTTTTCCATTATAATACCCAAGTTGTAACCCCTCAAATGGTTCATTTACACAGGTTTCATCTGAATATGTTAATATGCTTCTCAATGAACCCCTAAGCTCATTTTTCAGGAAGAAAAAAAATCAGTGGGATGAGCTTTTTGTTTACACCAAAATATGTTTAAATATGTTGGAAATTAAAATGCAAACCTGTATTTATGAATAAGCCTCAGCACCTCTTATAAGGCAGCTCTGAATGTAGTTAGATGATTCTAACTATACACATTCAAGTTTACTGGATATATATCAAAGCTGCCACACAGCAGATAACCTGAGGGTCCAAGCCTATGTTGAGTATTTCAGAGATTGTGAAATGATCCCAAATTATAGTTTTGCATTATCTGTTAGTGATGAAAGAGAAAAATTCTGATAAATTCATACCAGAATTATGTTCCTACAAGAGAGTGTAATAAAATTCACATTCCATTTATGTTTCCTTGAAATGTGATCTCTATGAATCTTATGTGCCTGGCTCAAAAAAGTATTGATGGGTCAATGGATCTATGAATGAACAGAAGGAGAAAAGAAGGAAATTAGACTCAAGCAATATATCTTAAGAGTTTGAGAGACAGCACTAAGAGTAACAATGCCCTGCCAAGGGAAACAATAACAGTAATATGCTAAACTATGAACCCAACAGCATTAGAGTCTCAACTCTGCAACATTTCAGAAGAGCAAATGTGATTAAATCATTATCTTTTAATGCTCTAGCATTGACTGAGTTGAGTGACCATACATACTAAATCTATGTTTAGGACATCATCACAGAAAACACTGTAATATGCAATATAAAAGATTGTTGAGGGATTTAAATGAAAAATAAAACAATGTATGTGTATAAATTTACTTTATAGCTACAAAAACCTACATAAATTATTGGTATTGTTACAAGAACGTTGTTACAACTATTTCTCAGAGAACAACCCTAGTTTCTAAGTATGTAGTTAATCTTTCTTAACTCACATACAGGGTGTGATCCCATTGTCCCAAGGATTTTTAATTGTTCCAAACTTCTGGCTTAACAATATGTAAAAGCTTACTTTAAGTTATAGCTTATATCTAAAAATGGTATTTATTGTAAAATATGTCATTATTTAATCTATCATGGAGGGAAAAACCCTACCAAGTAAACTTTGATACAGTATCTATTGTCAAGTGCATTCTGATTTTAGTGATGTAAAATGTGGAAAAAAATGTTTCTTAGAATCCAAAAATAAGGCATTTGACTAGTTCTCTCTGAGAGGTTTTCTTTGTGGTCAAGTGCAGGAACTAGTTGCCGTATATTGTAAACCCCACCGAAATATTTACTTGAGAGAAGATATCTTGAAATTTTGAGCGTGATCTCAACCACTTTAACCATTCTATACTCATCACAGAATGTTTGGTGAAAAAGAATATTCACAAATATTTTTAAAGCAGATGATCCCATGAACTAAATGTGAAAGAAATATACTTCAAAACTGGTAGAACAATACGCTAATGATTCTGCCTACTTGTCTTCAGAAAGACAGGTCCAGTCACCTTTATATTAGCTCAGTCTTCTCCATGAAGCTTTTCCTGACCTTTCCATCGGATCTGTTCTCATCTTCTTGTGATAGAATCTGCAACAAATACCTATAAGAGGGTATTTATCTTTTTGGATAAAATCTGCCTTGTGGTTACTTATCGGAATACTTTCTGAAATAATATTTTTCTCTTTTCCATTTAAACATTGAAAATGGAAGAGTTGCCAATATTCCACATGTTACTTGAGTGGATATTTCTAGGGAATTATAGCAAAACCTAATGTACAAAACCCCACAACTCTGTAGATAAAGAATCTTCCATAGGCCTAGAATAAAAAAAATCCAGAAAAGACCATAAAAACTATTTTTATCTGATTTCAGCCGAAGTGCCTAATCCCAAGATAATGCATTAAGTATGTCACTTCCCAAACCTGTGTTGGTAAAACATTAGCTTTAGCAGATGTTAAGAGATATTTAGTGGAAAAAAAGACAAAAGGTTGTTACATAAATTTAAATTTGGAAAACATATTTGGTGTGCACAGAGGAAAGAGTAGGGACTTTAAAAAAAAAGATTTTATTTATTTATTTGACAGAGAGAGCACAAGCAGGGGGAGCAGCAGAGGGAGGGGAGAAGCAGGCTCCCCACTGAGCAGGGAGCCTGATGTGGGGATCGATCCCAGGACCTGAGCCAAAGGCAGACATTTAACCAACTGAGCCACCCAGGTGCCCCAAGAATAGGGACTTTTAAAATCAGATAGAACTAGTTATAAATCTAACCCTCATTGTCCTCTTAGAATTCTCCTCTCTTAAAAGGGGCCAATGATGACTATCTCATAGGTTTGTTGTGATTAAATGAGATAATGCATAGATCATATGCCTGCCTTAAAGTATACAATATACTGGAAACTGTCAATGGTTTCATCCCAGTTTTGTCATTCCTTTTGAACATTCAGGACATAAACTCATTTAATTCTTAGAACATTTTAAACAATAATGAGTGATCCAAAGTAGGTCTGGTTACAGTTTATTCATTGGATGTCTAGCAGTTCTGTGAGAGTGGCTCATGGGCCACCCTGTGAAGGCATGGGGTTCTGAGAGTTCTGACTCTTGGCAAGTTTTCCTTTTATTTGTTCTTCTATCTATACACTAAGGACTCCAGTCAAGACCTGCCCTAAAGTCTACAATATACCCAATTGCCTCATCAACAATTCTTCACTTTGATATCTTGCAGGTACCTGAAATTCACATATCTAAAACCAAACTCATGATTCTTCAAACCAACCCAACTTACCTTCCCCCATTTCCTTATCTTACTGAATGGCAACATTATTCTTCCACACATGTTCAGGCCCCAAACTCTTTTTTTTTTTTTATTTTATTTTTTTTTTAAGATTTTATTTATTTATTTGAGAGAGAGAGAATGAGAGATAGAGAGCACGAGAAGGAAGAGGGTCAGAGGGAGAAGCAGACTCCCCGCTGAGCAGGGAGCCTGATGCGGGACTCGATCCCAGGACTCCAGGATCATGACCTGAGCTGAAGGCAGTCGCTTAACCAACTGAGCCACCCAGGCGCCCTCTTTTTTTTTTTTTTAAGATTTTATTTATTTATTTGAGAGAGAGAGAATGAGAGATAGCATGAGAGAGAAGAGGGTCAGAGGGAGCAGACTCCCTGCTGAGCAGGGAGCCCGATGTGGGACTCGATCCCGGGACTCCAGGATCATGACCTGAGCCGAAGGCAGTCGCTTAACCAACTGAGCCACCCAGGCGCCCCAGGCCCGAAACTCTTGAGTTATGCTCAACTTCCTTCTCTCGTATCCTGCATTCAATCCATTAGTAAGCTCTTTGGGATTTTCCTTCAAAATATATTCCAATCTCTTGAATTATCATTAACTCTACAGTTTACATTCTAGTCCAAGGTTATTGCAGTGACATCCTAATTGGTATCCCTGCTTCTATTTTTACCTCAAGTCTGTTTAACTCACAGCAGCCAGCATGTTCCTTCCAAACATAAGCCATATCTTGAAGCTCCCCTGCTCAAAATCTGTGTTGGCTTCACATATCCCTTAGTGGAAAACCAGAGGCTTTGCTATTGTATAAAGGTCTATCTAATCTTAGACTCTGGTTCCCACTCTGACCTTTTCATCCATATGTTAACCTCAGCTTATTTTAGTTTATGAGAATAAACTAGTGACCCCAGCCTCTTTGTGGATGCTTAAGTACTCCAAGTTTGTGCTTGCCACAGTAACTGTCATTAACTAGTTCCTCTACCTGGAAAGTATTTCTCCCAAAAACTATATATGTTATACCTCACTTCTTTCTGCTCAAATGTCTGATAAAGAAAGGACCTCTCTGTCCACTAATTAAAATTTCTTCTCCATATTCCTAGCTAACTTTATCTGCTTGTTTTCTTAATCTTACCACCTCCTATCACAGTATGTATTTACTAATAAATTGTTTTATTACCTATAATCCATACATATCCTAAAATACAAGACTGATGAGAGCTGGAGAATGTCTGTTTTGTTCAAAGTTATATCTCTGATACATAAAATATGCCAGGAACATAAAAGGTACTCCGTAAATATTTCTTAAATGAATAAATGAATGAATAAATGAATCAAGATTCTGCTGAAGATGATTCCAAAAAAAAAACAAAAGTGCTCTGCTGCCTAGGATTTGTAAAAGAGTGCCTGGGTGGCTCAGTCAGTTGGGTGTCTGCCTTTGGCTCAGGTCATGGTCTCAGGGTCCTGGGATCGGGCCCCGCGTCGGGCTCTTTGCTCAGCAAGGGAGCCTGCTTCTCCCTCTGCCTGCCTCTCCCCCTGCTTGTGCTCTTTCTCTCCAATAAACAAATAAAGTCTTAAAATTTAAAAAAAAGAAAGATCTATAAAAAGTCATGAGACCTCTTATTTATCCATAGGTTGGTGATACCTTTTTGAATCGTAAATATATTTAGCAACCACAATGTATTTAGCTAGAATTTTTAAATTAATTTTAGCAGACTGAAAAAATATACGATAACAATACCCACTTTTAACATGTGCAAGAAACAGAGTGAATGCTGTTTGTGTCCAGTGTTTCTAGCGTTTTTAATCAGTCCTGTAAATCATTAACAGATAGCATATAGCAAGGATTTAATGAGTGTTAGCTATTACTGTGTATACATAATTTCCTTCCCTACGCACGTGTTTTTTTGTTTTGTTTTGTTTATTATCCTTTTTAGGTATTGGAGATACAGTGAAGAAATGAAGACCATGGATCCTGGCTATCCCAAACCAATCACAGTCTGGAAAGGTATCCCTGAATCTCCTCAAGGAGCCTTTGTGCACAAAGAAAATGGTATGCAGCATGTGCATTATATATTTCATGAGTTTACTAAATATTTCAACAATGAATTCTAATTTTTCATTATGTTAAATTAAATCATTAGGGAGTACCATACTAGGGCTATAATGTATTATATTTACATGAACTTTCCATCCTAGATTTATGTTTAATATTATGCTCTAGATGTTTTTTAACCTCAGCTTGTATTAGTTTATGAGAAAAAAAATAAAGGCAATTTTTAAAAATGGAGGGTGTGGATACCTTCAAAGTAACATCACCTATTTTTCTATTAAAATTCCTATAAAGTTAGTAACAGACATACACAGGACAGGAGTTGGTCACAAGGAAGGTATGTTGTAAGTGTGGGCTGAGACACAAAGACACCTGGCAATTATGCATGTTGAAGATTTTAATTTTTCATGTATCAGCAAACAGGCAAGATCCCAACTGAATACAGTTGGGCTAAGTGACTGTATGATTGCTTAATAGCAAGAAGCAGAGCGGAGAGCTGACCACGTTCCTTGCTCTCCATCTCAGGATTTGAGTTTCAGCCAAATCCTAAGTGGAAAGTTAGCCAAGGGAGGGAAAATCCATATACTCCTATCTGTGGGCATATGTAAAGTCTCAACATTTCTCTCCTCATTCAGAAAGCAGTAAATAGGAATAAACCATAGTAATAATGCAAAATAGGATTTATACACAATATTCCAGAACAAAGGAAAGAAATCATTCTGAAATACACAGAAAAAACATACCCCATCAAATGATTTATAAGAACCATAAGAAAATTATATACCATACCCATCCTCAATAGCATGAAAAGTCTGTAACATATGCAACAAGAATAAAATAAACATCATTTGCAAAAACAAAATTAAGTATATCAGATGAGGAAAGAAAGTTAACTGAATAGGAGGAAAATGAAAAACACCATCACTGAAGATTATAATTAACAATCAGCATATATTGCCTGAGTTTAAGACAACTATACACTGAGTGTAAACCTGAAGGAACTGTGACCCAGGACCAATAAACACCAGTCAGAAAAGTCAAAGTACACAAACTATTTTGACCCTTGTTATATGAAATGACATACTACATTCTGTATGATAGTGCCCCACAAGTAATATGCTGTAGGGAGAGGCAAAGTCAAAAAGAACCTTGAAACCCTGATCATAGCACTTGTAGAGAATTATAGATTTTGTGTATATTCTATAGGTTCAGAAAATTAAAGGACCAAGTTAAGATACAGAGCCTGTATGTGATAAAAGCAAAAATCCATAGAAGAGGACAGATAAAGAAGAAAACATATCTGTCAAAAGGATATCAATAAGAAAATGAAGGAAGTAACAGTGCAGTCACATCGGAGGCAATTAATCAGATCAAAATAGGGCCCAAAACTCCAACTATGCAGATGAGGATGAAAAGGACCAAGAAATGAAAAAAAAAATTTGAAAAATGATCACATGGAGGCAGAAAACTGAGATCACCCCTACGAATTATAGGTGTCACCAAGGAAGAAACTAGAGGGAGGAGATTTCTTGAGGTTAGAATAAAGGGGTTATTAAAGCCCAGATAAAACCAACTCTAGCTAATATTTACAGAAGTCTTAGCACTGCTCTAGACTGTCTTCAATAAAAGTTATCACATTCCGTGCAAAAATAGTGCAAAGAAAATTCAACCAAGATCTTACTGCAGTGTTATTAACTCTAGGAAGTTTGGTAACAGTTTCTTATTTCTTGTCTTTATTTTATTAATTTTCTAAACTGAGTTTATCTTTTAAGATAAAAATAACTTTTAAAATAAATAATAAATTGTTTCAAAAGATTGAAAAAGTAGACATAATACACATAATCTTAATTCCTTACCACATTAACAGTTTTCTTTTTCCCTGTTTCTATATACAAGGCTACTAATACCTGAGATTTGATTTAGATTCTCTGGAAATAAATCATATTTATATAAAAATAACAAAAAATCTTGCTACCCCTGCCCCATGATTTTTCATATTTTTTTCCATCTGAATATTTAATAATATTCATTCAGTATAAATCAGTGAAATTGTGCCGAGAAGTATATTCTAAACTGAATCAACTCTTTCATAAATAGTTTCTAAACAAGTATGAAGCAACATCTCAAAATTTTTAAATTAGACTATGTGATTGTATTCTTTTTATGTTATATTAATACAATTAACAAAATACTATCAATTTTCACAGAAGTGAAAATTTTATGTGTTGTACAAAACAGGACTGAGACTTCCAAGAGCATTTCCCCAAGATCTTCCCACCTCAAGGGTCAATTACAAAAGAAAAAAAATAAATAACAGTTTTCTTATATTCAGAATTTCATGATTTCTTTTCACATAGCAAAAAATAACTTTGTAAAATACTGACAAATGAAGCATTTTGGGAAAATCAATGCTTACAAATGAATACAAACTGCAGATGAAACGGCAATATTTCTATGTCTTCTAGACCTTTCCTGGTCCAGCCCCCTCTTTGATATCCCTCAACACTGACCTCACTCTTCATCTTTCAGAATATTCTCCTTGAATATCCTTTTGTGATCATCCTATCTCTTGTACTCAAATCTCATATTACAGTGATCAGCTTATATGCTCATGATCCCCTCTAGTGCAAACTGTTTGAAGGCAGTCACATACTAAACATTCAATAAATATTAGTTGTATAAATTAATTTTATCCCTCCCATTATTCTAAAAATTCCCTCCCTGGAGGCAATCTCTCATCTGTCTGAAACCCTTGTTCTGTAATAGCAATATCAAAGAATCTAGAAGGCTTTGGTCTATCAACAGCAAATTCTCCACTTTTTATTATCTACAAATTTCATGCTTGTAGCTTCTTACCTTAAATTCATACTTTATACAGTTTCTTCCCTTAGGTTTGTGTATGAAAGATAACAAGTTCAAATTACTAAGTAAATGCATTTATATTTATATTTTGACTCAGAGTAATCCCCTGTAACTCTATACACATGAACTTCCTTGGAATCTTCTAGTGATAATCTTAAACAAACAAATGGAAGTCCACAAATTCAGCAACTCACCTATAGAATTTTGAAGGATATTTTTCATATTAGGGTGGAACGTGCCTCCATATACACCTACTGCTATTAATTCTGCCATCTTTACAAATGAAATTTGAATTCTTGTGCTATTTATTGAATGCCTATCATGTATCAGATATACTACATAAAGTCATTACCTAATTTAGTTGTCCAATATAAATACCTTTTTATGTCATATATTATTATTTATAAATAAGTAAGTTGGCATCAGTTAAAGTAACTTATTCATAATCATAAAAAAGGTAAGATTATATATTTGAGGTTTGAAACTAGAACAGTCGAGCCCCACTGAATGTGCTGTAATGCACTACCTCCAAAGAGGAAAAGTTAACACCTTTCTCTACAGTATATCATTAAAGTAACTGATTATCTGTCATGTCTGGTTAAATTTTTCATCTTGTCATACTATACAAATCCAGGCTTTCTCAGAATGTAGCTTCCTGAGCCATCATCCTCCTGCTTTTCACCTGTAAAACCATCTTAAGTATTTTTCATTTTTCTCTTTACTTTTAGTCCTTGAAAATACAACAATCTAAATGAGATCTGACTCATGCAGAATATAGTGGAATGATTTCTTCTTGGCACTCATTATTTGACCATGTTTTAAGCAACAGTGAGTTTTTAACACATACTAAAGTTGTAGTAAAGAATTGCTTCATTCCCTCTCCTTCAAATTGTTTCTATGTTAATTGCTGTCAAGCCATATCACCTAGGTATTCTATATTCCCTCCTTAGAAAATGCAATCTTAAGGCAAATACAAGACTCTACTTTTCAGACTGTTGTCTTTCACCTTACTGATTGCTGTTAAAACAGTTTTGACTATTTTAGCCTATTAAATTAGTTTTGACTCTTGATTCTGTTGATTTGCTGAAGTCCCTACTCCCCACTCTCATTCTCTGTTAAAATGTACAAGTATGATTCAAACACATATTTCCACAAGAGTCAGTTTATTCATTCACATTTATTAAATACTAATTAACTTCTTACTAATAAACATATAAAAGTGGAAGACAGAGAACACACAGACATTGTCATCCAGGGACATCTAAGTTAGAACAAGAGAATTATGATGGACAGTGTCTCGTTACATTTTAGGACTAAACAATAGAAAAGTCACCAGTAAAATCTGGTCAAATATGGGAGAAAAAAAGTGATCACATAATACATTATAGCCCCCCTGAATTCCTTCTCAGGATTTCTCAACAAGTAATAATTCGGGTAAGAATTCATCTGATGTTGCTATTCTTAATAAGCATAACATCTTACAGGAGTATATCATCAAAGCTATTCTTAAAAAGGAAAAAAAAATGAGTACATAAACATTTCTTCTACCAACTGCTATTTCATATTCTCATTACTGAATGAGATGAATATTGTGGGATTAAGTTTTGACAGATTTCTATTGCAGTCCACTTATTTTCAAATACTTTTATTATTTAACTTCTACTGACTAGACGTGTTATCTCTAATAAGCATATTCAGTAAACTACAATTCTCCTCTATATGGAGTGTGCTACTATAAAATTTGGCCTCCATAAATATGAAAATGGAAACTTCTGAACTTTTGTATGGTACCAGGTAGGTTCACAGTGATTAGCTTTGACTAAAAATTAAAGATGAGGGCCCTTCCAGCTGTTGGTTTCCAGTTTATAAATATAAGAAGTATGTTCACCTGTTCTGAAGGTCTGTTTAATTCTAAATCAATGCCATTATTCAACAGTGATTGTCTAATGTACTGTTATTTGGCAAGTCCTCAACATTTCTTCATCCAAGCTTGTTGAGTAATTACATTGGATTTCATTAGTGTGATCAAATACCAGCTCCCTGCTGAAATATTTGAATCTATATCACCTGTTTTCACTTGGCATGTTACTCTGATTGCAAAATTGCCCTTCAAAACGAAAGGCAACAGCAGATTTTTATGGCATTGAACAGAATTACTTCCAAAATGAAGTGACCTGAAGTGATGGTCTAGCCTAGATGAAATTTTTTGAAAGGTGTCAGAGTTTTTTGTTGTATGGGTTTTACCTATCACAACCTGTGATGTTTAATCAAGATGCGTTTGTTAAAGGACACAGTTTTTAAAAAAATCATTAAGTGTTCAGGTCTAGAACTAGATCAAGATTTAAATTCTGCTTTCACCAGGACTTGGACATCTTATCTCTAAGCCTCAGTATCTTTGCCTGAAAAGTATAGGTAAATAATTCTACTTGACAGAGTGGTTATGAGGATTAAAATATGTCTTTACTGAGCTTTAAACACAATACTTCTTCCATAATAGGTGTTTAATAATACAGGATAAAGAAAACCCTCATTAATGATTACTAACCCTAAAGTAGGCATACTGTTCAAAATAGCTCCCAAAATATAGTTTTTAAGTAATGATAACATTAAAATATTTCTTCTTGGTTTCTTGAAGTTTGTCTCAAAGCAGGAATTAAGTCCAATGAGTGCAGTCACAAAGAAACTTGACATGAAGAAGTTCTGGATGAAAAGAAAAACTTTTTTTTTCCCCCAACAAAAACAACAATTTAGAGAATAGTTCTAAGAAAAACACACATATCTGTAGCTTAATTGTCACGAGCTTTCAAAGTCAATTATCTGCATACATAATTTTGGAACATAAGTCATATGTATTGCTAGTTACATGAACCTTCCACATACTACATCCTCCCCCATGAAATATGTTAGTTGGAACTATTAAAGATAGAATTATAGATTTATTTATAGTCGATTAATCCTTTATTATGTAAGTAAATAAGAACGTTAAGTGAAAAGGGCAAAAGGAGTAGGGACAAAATGGGTATGATCTAGAGTCAGAAATAAGGTTAGTGCAGAAAATACCCTAAATACCTATTTACTTATTAAGATTCCTAGCAAAGAAAACATCTCGTTTCATGACTTATGAGCTGTTATGATTTCTTGTCCAAATTACAAAAGCAAACCTAGTGTTTAAGTACAACTGCTCCCAATACTAAGATGATTAGAAATTTCCCCTGAGGTGTTTCCTGGAGTGGCCTCCTCATAATGCATTGTACAGTGTCTTCAACAGCAGTCTGCAGGGACCTAGTGCTTCAATTCATAAAACTGTTTCAGCATATTTCAGAATAGGTTGGTATTATCACCCTGATGGGTAAATCTGAAACTGCAACCTTACAAGTAAGAAATAGGGTAAAGTTCTCTTTCCAGACTAGGAGTAGATTTGTTCAGCATGATCTTTCAACTGTCCTCTATAGATATTTTGACTCATGGCGAAGCTTTCCATAGATGGGCATTAGAGGGCACAACTCCAGATTTATTTCAACAGAGAGCTAAGCTGAAGATAATGTTTTCTTCCTACCAAAATGGAAGGGCCTTAAAATACATCTTTTAGGGGTGCCTGGGTGGCTCAGTTGGTTAAGCGACTGCCTTCGGCTCAGGTCATGATCCCAGGGTCCTGGGATCGAGCCTCACACTGGGCTCCCTGCTCAGCAGAGAGCCTGCTTCTCCCTCTCCCTCTGCCTGCCGCTCTGCCTACTTGTGCTCTCTGTGTCAAATAAATAAAATCTTTAAAAAGAAAATACATCTTTTAAAAAGTAGCCTAATGTAAGTTAATAAGAATTTCTATACATATACACTTTCAAAATAAGTGGTACCTATGTGTGTGTGTTTCCCCTTCTAGGCTTTACGTATTTCTACAAAGGAAAGGAGTACTGGAAATTCAACAACCAGATACTCAAAGTAGAACCTGGATATCCCAGATCCATCCTCAAGGATTTTATGGGCTGTGATGGACCAACAGACAGAGATAAAGAAGGACACAGCCCACCAGACGATGTAGACATTGTCATCAAACTGGACAACACAGCCAGCACTGTGAAAGCCATAGCTATTGTCATTCCCTGCATCTTGGCCTTATGCCTCCTTGTATTGGTTTACACTGTGTTCCAGTTCAAGAGGAAAGGAACACCCCGCCACATACTGTACTGTAAACGCTCTATGCAAGAGTGGGTGTGATGTAGGGTTTTTTTTCTTTCTTTCTTTTCCAGGAGTTTGTGGTAACTTGAGATTCAAGACAAGAGCTGTTATGCTGTTTCCTAGCTAGGAGCAGGCTTGTGGCAGCCTGATTCAGGGCTGACCTTTCAAACCCAGAGGGTTGCTGGTCCTGCACATGAGTGGAAATACACTCATGGGGAAGCTTCCATGATGCACAGTATCTGCCGTTCTTCAGTCCTTTGTCTTTCTTTGTCATTCAGTTCTAGGCCTTTCCTCTGCACGCTCAATGCCCAGTAAATTTTCAGGATTAACTAAAGAAGAGGAAAAAAAGAAGAAAAGATTCTTCTTAAAGGTTTCTAATATTATTTTCCTTCTGAAGTCTGAGCCCATATCTGGGGGAAAAAAGCAAAATGGAAAAACCCATGAATTTTTTGCTTTAAAGCAAAGAAAAAAAAGGTTAAACAAAAAACCCACAATTGAACTTTCAGGAAAGTGTGAAGACCCAAAACAGCTTTGTCTCCAAAGAAGATAGCTCTCTGACTGCTATGGATAGTCTCCTACACTTCATTTTTGTCAGGTGGGAGATCTGGAATACACATGCAGGACTTTAGACTGTTGGGACAGCCATTTTCCAACAAACAAGGGGCCAAAATATCTGCAATATAGTAACAGCCTTAATAATACATCCATTTTTCGTTTTATACAGCTGTTCTCAGCTATGTCCTCAATGTTTCATCACATTTATATTCATAGCTATATTCAAACAGGACCTTTTGATTGTTTTGAAGTGTTTCTAATCCCCTTCCTGCCACCTGACCCCTACATCATTGTGATAATCTCCCCAAGTTGTATTAGGCCATTGCCCCAGGCCTTTCATGGGTCTGTCAGGAATATTCATTAAGAGCAAGAAGCAGTATGTCTCCAAAGTGGTTTAAAGTGACAGTTATTTTACAAGGATATGTGACACTAGTAATACATTGGTGTAACCCTTTGAGAACTATCAGACCAGCTTTCAGAGTCTTAGGATTGTCAGTCTTGCTATCTGGTAAATTATAGAACTGGGCAATGGTAAAAGCAGGCACAGGTTCAAGAAGTTCAGGTTTTTAAAACAGATATCCTATAGCCCCATGTAATTTTTAAGCGATTTGCGATACTACATAAATGCGTTTATAGTAAACAGAAATGTTACTTGCCAAAAATTTTTCTGGCAAATAAAAAGATATTTTATTAAGAAAATGCTAAGAGTGAAATTTTATTTGAAGAACTGATTATAATAGCTTAAGTCTTTTTTCCCTTAGACATATTGAATTCCTGTTTTAAAATCCATTGCATGAAAATTCAGTTTGCCTTGGTACATGCAGTTAGCATTGCCATTTTAAAAATGACTTAAAATGATGACTCTGAGATTGCATGAATATCCTCCAGTACATTACCTATTGCATGTCAACCATAGTTCTCAAAGGGTTAGTGTGGCTTCTGGCATTTAGCCATCCATTTGATCACTGACAGAGCCAAGAGACCACCAAAGCATTTCATTGTTGAGTGTAATTTGTCCTAACAGCAGTATTGTCATTTTCATGTGACCTGCAGAGCAGGTTTGTATCAATATTTTTTTCCTAGAGAAAAGTCAGCAACTGACAGACCTCTTTATTGATTTTTAGGAGCTGCTTCTTGCAGTGAAAGGCTTTACAGCCACTGGGCTGTGAACTTATTAGAGATGGTCAGACGGAATGCACCCCATGAGTCAGACATTGGCTTTGTGTGAAAGCCAGCTTTTGAGGGGATTAGCTTTTGAAACAATGAACAGCTTGCCTTGAACTTGATTATTGATCTGTTGACTGTCATTAACAACAACTTAAACATTGTCTTCTGTGAAAATTTTCCTTGAGGAGTCCTGTTCTGTGTCTTTGCCCTTTGACCTTTAACTTGCAAACTGGCACAAACTGAAGGAAATCTGGTATTGCTTCTCCTTTGGAGTGTTAATTGTACTCTAAAACCCTAGTAAGCATGAGCTGTTTCCTTAGAGTAGAGAGAGAGAAAGCGTTGATGGATCTGCAGATGGACACTTTGCTATTTACATGCACACTCGAAAAATGCCCTATAGGTAGAAGTGACTTTTAATTTTCCTTTAATATAATTTCAAGTCTAAATTCATCATTTTAAGTACAAATATAAAACTATAGGGGAAAAAAAAAAAACCTCAAAATACTTGAATGGCCAGTGTGGCTTTTATACAAAGCAGGAATTTTATACTAGTGAAAATTTCTTACTCATTTGCTAATAATACACATTTCCAGATGATTTTTAATGAGTGTAGGTACACATTCTTATTTGGAAATGGATAGTTTGGCTGCCTTGAATTTATATTTATACTCAACATAACATGAAAATTAGAATGTCTTTCGGTTAAACAACATGTTTATGAATTGGTTTGGGAAAATATTTTGTAATCATGGGTGGCATGCTGCAAAGCCTTTGCAGATTGTTATTTCTTACAACCTGAACATATATAATGTAAGGATAAGAAAAAAAGAACAGTTAAAAAAGAGGAATGGCTTTACAGCAAAACATTATGTAATGCAAACTGTATTTTGACAAGATATCAGAGATTATGTATGTGAGGGCCAAGAAAGAAAGCATGGGGAGAGGACCAAAATCAGTCCCATAGCTTTACTTCAGTGCTTCCATTCTAGATGATGCTAATATTATAAAGAGTTAGCCACTTCTACTGAGCATGGAGGACTATATACATAAGCTCACTCATACAGTGTTTGCTTATGGGAGGGTTTAATCCTTTTAGGACCTTGATGTCAAGAAAAAAGATGACTGGAAATTATATTTTGCTAAACATAGAAATGAGGAACTATGTTATTTGGGGACATGGGTAAATCATTGAGGAATTCCATCAACCTGCATTAAACATTGATTTTATTTTTTTTCTAAAATGAGAAAGAAACTGAAGAAGCAATCTTTTGCCTCTTTACTCATTTGTCACAATATCCTGATCCATCATAAGACTATTAGTATATAAGGGCTGGAAAATAATCATAGCATTAAGAAAGGAAAGACCCTATCATTATGCTTGAATTTTGAAAATGTCATGGATAAGTGTTGGGTCATATTTACTTCAATATGAAATGAGATTTATGTGATAAGAAAAGGCATATACAGCTTCTCTCTTTACTAGAATAGTTAAATTTTCAGGCTGTGAGACTACAAGAGATAAGAAAATATTAAGTTCCATATAATCACAAACATCAAGATTCTATTTGTTTATTGTACACAGAGCACTTTGTGAGTATGGTTGCTGACTCCTCTTCCTCTTGGGGTTTGGGGGAAAAAAGTCTCAATCCTATTGGAGTAATGAAAGGGACAGTGACCAATTGGTCTAGCAAATAAGAATAGTGATTCAAAAACGTGGAATAAATTTCCATGGGTCAACAATATAATGTACCAAGTTCAGTATCAATAGAAACATACAGTCTATCAAATATTTTTCATCACACATCATTAATAGCATGGAAAGTTCAGACCTAGGGTTTCTCAAATTGAAAAACACATTCATGATCACAAAACATAATTCTTCTGTTTCATTTTTATACTTTAATATAAACACAAATGTAAACAAAGTAATGTTCCTTACATAAATTAACTCTATAGTCTATAATTTTAGCCAGATATTATTGTTCTGTATATTATTAACTGGACTGAAATGAAGTATTAAAATAAACAGTCTGTATTCCCTATAAAACAGTAAATCTACATCAGACCATAGAGGAGGTTGTGAATTTAACTATTGACCCCTTTTAGAACAAAGTGTCTGCTAACATGGCAATCAGAACAGGTGAATACAGAAACTCTTTACAACTGCAGAGATACCATAGATAAATTAGAGAACATTATATGATACTAGCAAAGACAACTTCTGTTATAAATCAGAGGGCAAGGCTTTTCTGAATCAGATGTAATAAATTACTAAGTAATAATTTACAGAAAATAATTACTAAGTAATAAAGGATAGAGACTGATTTACTAAAATAAGCAAATGTTACTTTTACTAGTCAGATTGGTTGTAATCTTTTTCTATTGACATAATTTGTCTCATATACAATATACTTATTTTTATTCCCTTTCTGTGGGTGATTAAAAAAACACAATGTGGTGGATGAGAACACTGCCCAACTTCACTGGTAGTTCCAATATGTGGATGATGTGTATATACTGGATCCTAGGTATAGTAATATAATACTTCCAAGTTCTGCATATTATGCTGATATCTCTAGTATCAAATACACGCCCACACTTTGTGAATCTTACATAGAGTAACAAATGTGTCCATATTGACTAAATTCAATGTGCTATCTGAAGAGAGATGGATGTTATAATCAAGTAGACTGAGTTAACACAGAGTCATGAAAAGATTTTTTTTTTTTAAGTTTTGGAATTATTTCCAGAAACTAATAAAGGCGGTGATTTACTGATAGTATTGAGTCTGTGAGATTGTAACATATACTGAAACAACCTCGTGGATGGTGGTGAAATCTTTTTCAGCAAACATAGCAAAGAGTTCATTTAATTTTTGATGCTCTCAAGAGCACATTCCAAAATAACACAGATGTCAAAGAGAACATGCCGTCTAAACCAAAAATGTTAAATTCAGATAAGCTATTTATAAATAGCTGTAAATATAATCTCAGCCAATATATGATATCACAAAAGGTTTCAAGTCAATAGTATTAGAGGATTTAATCATTCCATTGCATCTCATGCACCTTCATGATATTAATTTATTTTGACTGCAGGTTATATAACTGCGAAAGGATATCTATCTTTGTTTTAGGTTCCTTGTTGCTGAAAAGGGAACCATAGCTACATCAGAAATATTTTATCAGTAATATTTTAAAAATTAGAATTTTATATGATAAAGAAAACAGCAACCAGGTGGAGCACCACACCATAAATATGAAAATTAAATACTATATATATTAAACATAATGGAAATGGAGGAAAAAGAAAAATGAGTGTTTTGTAAAATATAAAAACATACTACAGCACTCCTTAATACAACTGGAAATTTTACTTTAGCAAGTATAAAAATAGAGAAAAATGCAACTTCAAGCTCT